CTGCAGTCAGAAGTATTATTGAGCACGTTCGTTGCTATAGCGTTTGTTTAGCGCGATTGTTGAAGTTGAGTGTATCGGTAAAGTTATATTCGAAAAGAATAAACCAGTTTTTATTAAGAAAAAACTTGTGTCGCTTAAGTTTCGTCGGAACGAAGTTACGGAAAATTAATTAACAACCGGAGACGTAACAATATACATAACTGTACTCTAAGGTGCAATTTATCTGAGACTTTAGATGTTGTGTGATATGTAGGCATATCGTATGTTTTATACCTATTTTAGTTACATAGAGATATTTTTAAAATGTTTGGGTTATGTAGTTTCTGAGCTGTAATGGCGGAAATACCTGGTTTAGAAAATCGTTAAGATTATCTTTTTCTAGTTGCTTCTAGGAGCTCTAAGACAAACAATTGAAGGACGCTGATTTATTGTGGGCACCTTTGCTGTCCAACAAGGTCAAGTTCGACTATCATTAGTAGAGGAGAGTAGCACAGATACACATAGCCTTTTGTACCTTTACGAGTAGTTACAAGTGTGAGTAAGTGTGTTATATCATTTTTATTAACTTCCATTGCCTGGTGCTGTGACAGTGCTGAAGTTAGTGGTTCCCAGAGCTCTGGGCAAGAAATATATATATACTCTGGACTTTGCACAACAGAAAGAGTGTAGGGCACTAATGTGTAACCCACTCTTGTGTTAACATTCGAACGTGGATCTTCTGGACGTGAGTGAATCGGGATGTTCAGAGTTGGTGTGTTGCTATAGAGTGTGTGCAATAATCTGTTGTTATTTGTGAGTTTACCTGTCTGATACTAGTCACGAAATCGTTTTATCTGAACATACTACAGTTCTTGTATTTTACAGCTGCCTTTAATAAACAAAGTTTAGTTGGAAATTTATAATATTTTTTCTTTTTCTGGAAATCAGCAATAGGCTAGTTTATTGACGTGTACAGATGGGTGGTTGGTTGGGTTCAAGCTTCTGGCTTCCTCTTCTTATGCCTCCAACTTGCTCTTTTCCTCAGTAATGAAAAATTGTTCACAACTATTAAAAAACGTCTGATGCTTGAAACTGCCCTTTTTGTCAACAAGTCTCTGCCCTTTTAATATCATCTGGACTGGTTAATAAATAAGCAATAAAATTATTAGCGAGCTTATTGTGGTTTTCTATCACACTTTATATTCTAAAATATTTAAACTTTCTGTTTTACTGGGATATTTCATATTCATTTTGTTTAAAAGTTTATCAAAAAATATTTTCAATATTTTCATATCATATTAACTATTAAAGAACGATATACACTGCAGGATATTGACACATTAAGATGCAGTTTTAGCTTTCTATGCCGAAAGTTCAAATTTGTTGGCTTTTACTATGAAATTTAAAGGTGCTAAGATATGTTATTTATGGCTTTGAATGGTTAAGTCATTCCTTTTTATTGATATTTTCCTTATCAGGTGCCATACGACTATCAGTCATTAATGTGCCAGACCGTTAATCCGAAGGTTTACGGTTCACATCCCGTTGGCACAAAACGCACTCTGCACTTTGAGGGTGTGGATTCGTTTTAAAATTGGCGATCAAATCCCACCAATTGACTAGAGTAGTCAAAAAGTTGGCGGAAGGTGCTGTTGAATATTTGTTTTCTCTCTGGTCTATCATTTCAAAATTAGAGACCGACAGCGCAGATAGTTTTTCGCAGCTTTGTAAGAGCATCTCTATTAATCAAACTTTTCTTAAAAATTATATTATTTATTTTCATACATTCTGTAATGAACCATTAAAGTCGTAAACTTTTTATTCTTTTATTATGTATAATCTTTTATCAAAATTTAAACTAATTTATTTAATGTCTTCTGGAGTGAAACCATGATAAATTACGGAAGGAAAATAGAGGAAAGTATTTGCAGGAAAATTTAACTTTTACTGCGTTTACCAAAACAAAAATATACTATTAACAACGCAAGTCCCATTGCCGTTTTTACTCTCTGCAACGCAGTATATAACGATAATTTTTCTCTCCTTTCACAGCCTTTATGACGTCAGATGTATGAGAGAACACCTCTATCAGGTTTGTTGAAGGTAACGTTACATGTTAGTGTCTATTAGATTTATTTTTGGTAGATAATATTTATTGGTATAGAGTATTAATGGTTGAACTGATCTATTTTCAAAACAACAGTTCCTTAAAGCTGTAAATAAGAAAAAAAACACGACACCGGGCGACATGGATTGCGTTTGGTGATCAACCCAATACCTTACTATAATTACCCATGATTCATGTTACACATGCAAGATGGCGGACTTAGCGGTGGAAGTGTGTGGAGAAAATGGTGCTTATTACAAGGTAAACCTCATTTGTCATATTTGACGCTAAGACAAGTTTTTACAACAGTAACATATTTCAGTTTTAGAGTCAGAACTTTTAATAACTAACAGTGAATTTTTACTTAAACCTACTTTAGAAGTACTGTTAGTACTTGTAAGTTGTATACTTTCTATTTTAATTTTATTTTTAGTATTTAATAATTTTATAATAACACCTACATAACTTCATAAGTCATAAAATCATAAAATAAGTCACAAAAAAATTTGATTTATTCATTACTCCTTCACCGTACATACCTTACATTCTAATACTAATAGTAATATTTATTTACAGAAACACATTAATTTTAAATAGATGCATTAGTAAATTAACAAACAAAAGATTTGTAAGCATTATTATTATTAATAAAACATCATGTTTTTACACTGTACTGTGGCCCTTCACTGGCTTCAGCTCCTTCTTCTAAGTTCTAATGTTTCCTACAATAAGTACAAATACAATAAATATTATTGTACTTACAAATCGTTTTGTTGATTTAAAACAATACAAGAATATTAATGCTGCAAATTGAAACTTCATGTAGGCCTAACGTGAGGCCTATTTTACCGTCATTATTATTTTAGTATTTATGTAGCATAACACTGTCCTGTACTCACTGTATGCTGTACTGTAGCATTCTTGTTTTGATTTATAAAGGTAAATCTGTTGTCTGCGGACATATACTGTATACAATAGATCTATATCTTTGTGCTATTGTTAAGTTTCTAACCAACAATTAAAATTTTTGATATGATATAGAGCATTTACAATATAACTTGTGTAAGTGTATTACAATTTTCTAATCAAAATCTTTGGATGATAGTAATATGAACTTTTGCATTAAAAACTCCACGAATAATTATAAAATTTATGATGGTTTATCTAAATTAGTATTTCTTTATAGTTTTGAGTAGTAACATCATTGATAACTTCATGAGATTGACTTAGTGAGTATAAAACCATGATGAATGCTTATGTTATCAATATTAGTGAAAGGCATCACAGACCTAAGTAGAACATAACTTATAAGTTGAAAGTAACTCTGCCTTCATACTATTATTATTAATAACAGTATTACTACTAGCACTAATTATCTTCATATTCCTTTTACTTATTTAAAAAAAAAGTCTTGGGGTGTCATACTCTTAAGCTTTCTAGTTAACTAAGATTGGAAGTGAAATCATCTTAATATTCTTATATGATAGTGTTTGAAAATTAATTTATTATCTGTAAGTAAATATGTTTTGATAGTTCATGTAAAATTGTAAACTTTTGAATAAGTTTATATATACCTTTTTTAATTTGCTTCATTTGTGCCAATATTTGCAAGGTTAGCTTAATGATATATAGCCACAATTTTAGATATAGAATTGGTGGTCATCAGTCATATATTGAATGATCTTATAACAATGTGAAAATCCAAGCATAGTGTTTTTCTGAACCTTTTGGATGGACAGGAAAAACTCAATATAAAGTATAAATTTTATAATGCCGTGTAAGCATTTGATTTAAAATTTTCTTCATGAAGCAATCGTATGTTTGCATATGTTTCATATACTTTGCTGGCTTTGAGGAACATAACATAAAAGACCTGAATCTGTGAAATGCAGAATTTATTGGAAGCTAAATATTTTGTTTTGCTTTCATATAATGTACTTTAATTTTTAATGTTTTTTGCCCCTTAGGTAAAATACAGCAAGTACAAACTAATACAATATATCCTGAGATATATAGAATTTAAAGATTTGGGAAAAAGCAGCAACAGCCGCTAACATCTGAAAATTAGAAAATCTTTAAAAAAACGAAGTGAGAAAAAAAATAGCATTTCAGCCAAAGGAATTTCCTTGTGAATTAATGAATAATTTCTATTTAGGCATTTGTTTTATTATTTCTTATAGTTCTTTTCTATTTGCTTTGAACCTTATTGCAGCAAAAGTCTTGAATTATTGAACTTAGTAAATTGTTGAAAATTTCAAATGTCAAATTATTGTTTTTTAGGCTTATGTGACCAACATTCATGATGATGAAGTGACAGTAGCATTTGAAAATGAGTAAGTACAGCTTTCTGCTTTTATTAACTTTTAACTTAATTGAAATTTTAATGGATTTGAAATAACCAATTATAATCCACCTGTACTTGCTAAGAATGATAAATTTCTATATATTAAACATCAGCTAGTGCTATGAATTTTCAAAATCCTTCAAAGTTAATTCCCTTTTTTCTGATGTTCAGTAAAAGGTCAAAGCCACAAAGAAGACCTTTTTTTCTTATCAATTAAGATTGTTACAGTGACTGTTGAAAACTTTCACAATCTTCAGCATAGAAAAAATAATTAAGCATTTTTTTTGTTGGTGTGATCAGAAATACACATTTCATGCATTTGAGTGCATGATGCTTGAATACATGGTGGGGAAGATATTAATTTCAATCCGTTATTAAGGAGTTAGTTTTAATCATTTGAGCACTTTGAAATGGAAATGTTTCATAAGTATGAACATAAAATGAAGTATGTGGAGGTAAAAACCACTTTGAAAAATAAGTAGAATTGGAGTTAGATTAAATAAAAATAACATCTTTTAAAATTAAAATAGTTTTTTATTTCAGGTTTATCAGACGACATGTGATTTTGCTTAGTCTCACGTTTGACAGTTAAATTTTTTTATCTTGAATCAGCTTCATTACCTTTATGTAATATGGACTTTGGTGCTTTACTGATCCTTCAGATACATGTTAAACATTTTGCAAATTTTTAATTTTTGTTCAAACTTTCAAGTATTTTAATTTCCTATTGAGTCTCAAAAAATTTATATTAAGTGATACTATTTTTTAGCTGTCGCATAACGACTCATGGAATGGCTCTGAGTTTTTCAAGTTCAAACTTTTAGGACATAGCTCCATCATTTCTTGACTCAATTTGAGATCTAATTACAGCTTTGGACTCAGGAGGTCAAACCCTTTTGATTGATGTATTTGACCACACCCAAGGTCTCATAAATTAATTTACTCTAATCCTGCCTAAAAGAATTTCAATTTGAGGGTATGCTAGTAGAGATCCTGATGAATAGTAAAATCAAATTGGCTATATGGTTGGTATTGCTGTCACACAAAAATATAGATAATAAAATGAAAGAAAATGTCTCCTAGAATAATTTACTCTTATCCTGCCTAAAATAATTTCAAGTGTCACGGCTATTGAGGATTCCCTCGTATTTTTACTTTACAAGAAAAAATGTTGAGCTAAGCTATCAAAAGAGAGTTAGTAATATAATACTGATACAATTTAACCCTTAATACAGTGTATTAGTCAATTGTGCATGTCATGACATTTTACAGTTTCATTCAAGATTTCATTAAACAACTTTATTATCAGTGTATATCAATAAACTTGACATCATTTGAATACAAGTCTAAAGAGGTTATAATTTCATTATACAGATCACTGGTTAGGCCACATCTGGAATAATGTGTTCAGTCTTGGGCTCCTAACCTTAGGAAAGACATTGAATTGTTGGAAAAGGTTTAGAGAAGGGTTACTAGAATGGTGCCTGAGATGGAGGGGTTGTCAAACGAGGAGAGGCTGAAATCTTTCAATTTGTTTTCTCTTGAAAAAAGAAGAGTTAGGGGGTATTTGATTGAGGTGTTTAAGATTGTAAAGAGAATTGATAGTGTTAATATATCATCTTTTTTTCCATATTTAACAGTGATTATAATAGGACTAGGGGACACAAATTTTGGCAAGGTAGGAGTCATCTTCAACTAAGACAGTTTCATTTTTCAAACAGGATGGTTGGCCTTTGGGATGGTGTAGAGGCAGTGGTTTTAAGAAAAAGCTTGATAAGTATGTGAATGATAAGGGCTGGCTTTAAGATTTAAAAAAAAATTGTTTAGAGGATGGAACAACAAAGATGCACCAATAAGTCCCATATTGTCCCAAAATGTTAGGTTAATCATAAACAACTTTATTATCGATAAACTTGACATCAGAGTGAAGTTTACAGTTCAAATTTTTATGTTAACTAATTTTGATTTCTTAATTTAAAAAAAAAATATCTATAGTTCTCTATCTTCTCATGTTGTCATGACATGCATGCACTCTCAGTTCTTAAATTAGTTTGTATTACTTCAGTAATATAGCTTCTACAGTGTCTAGCTAATACATACACAAGCCATGAGTAATGACAAGGTCAGGTCTAGAATTTCAGGATCTTAACTTCTCCATTTGCTGAGATATTAATATATATTTCAAAACCATGACAGAAGCCCTGTCCATCTATCCTTAACATTCAAGGCACCCTATACCACATGTTCTTATATAATGTACATTTTATAACCAATAGAAGGCTTTTTTTTTCTCTCTCTCTCTCTCAAGCTTGCAATCATCCTTTTGAATTTGGCACCAATAGTCAAAAGGAAGTAATTGATGTGTATGTAAGTGAAGCTATTGCTCATGTCACTAAAGGAATGTTTTTTACCAAATTTATAGCTTAGTTAGAAAGCCAGTTAAATGATAGTATTTTTAGTCTTATAAGTTTGTTTGTTTTTTTACTTCAAATTTGATCTGCTACGGTAGTTCAAGTTGCAGTTTTTAAGGCAAAACAAAAGTGAAATGTTCCTTTAATATTGTTGAGTTTTTGGTTATAAAACAAGCCACATTAAAGATTTTAACTACAGTTTGTTGAATTTTTATTTATTATATTGATATTAGTTTTCAGTCACGTAAAAGTTCAAATCTTTGTTTTATAGCAGTGACATTCATTGATGTTTTCCCAAATTACTTTTCACAGTTGGCAGCCTGAAAGTAAATTTCCGTTCCGAAGGGTCAGATTTCCTCCACCCCCCTTAAAAGAAGGAGAAAAATTAGAATTAACTGAAGGACAAGAAGTTGAAGTAAGAATGTATTGATTGTTATTTCTCTTTGTATTGCCAAAGTTTCATGATTCTTGATACACATTTTGGTATGTGTGATATGTTGGTTGTTTTTGCTTTTCTTTTTCATAAACATCACAGAAATATATAACTACATTATCTTTCTTTGGCAAATATGACAAATTGTACCACATAGAAGACTCTTCAGTTAAAATCATTAATTGAACAAATTTCAGTATCTGATTCATATAAAAACTTGTACCAGACTGTGTTGGACTGGTTGGAAAGAAAACTTGTCATAATAAGCTTTCGAGAGAGCAGATTAAAAATTTTTCTAATTATTTTTGGTGTAAAATTATTAGTTATAAACTATGCCATGACTTTCTGATTTGTCTCAAAAAAATTATCTTATGCAGATCTAAATGAGAAAATACTCCTTATGCTTAGCCATTGATATGCCTTACATATAGAAAGTTTTAACACTGAATAAACTTTAGGGGTGGTAAAACAAAAGTGAATGAAAAAAGTATAACATTAGTTTCCATTTGGTCCAAGGAGTCTAAATGTAGTTGTTTATTGCTATTGTAATATTTTATCCAGATTTTGTTAGTTAGAGACAGACACCAAGATACCTGTCCTTCACTGTTCTGTAACCCACGTCATTTAATTAGACCAATCATGATCTAGTATTTTTGATGAATTCCATTTAAGTGGAGTTAACTTACAAGTGTTCCAGATTTGTAAACAACTGTATAATTCATAGCCAGGGGCTGCTCTGGTCCCTATCAAAATCATATTTTGATATTTTTTTACTTTTGTTGGTGACAAAACCTAGCATTTGGCAATTCGTTTTACACAAACAGTGTGGTGCCTGTTTACTGTACAAGTAAGATCTGTTTATATACATTGTGTAAGTGTCAGTTCAACACTTAACAAAGGATATTGTATTAAAAACTAATCAAAAGAGATAAGTCATTAAATGTCATAATGTCCCTTTAAGTTTGATTATTACTACACACAGGAAGTTATGTTATCAGCCCGTGTTTGGACCTTTTATGACTCTTCCAAGTTGAGCTGAGTAATTTTTATCAAAAACAACAGAAGAAAATAAAAATAGCCTTTTAGTCAATCCAATTATTTTTTACCTTATATTCCCTGTATTCACATTCTCACAGGAAAGTGTAAATTAAACTTTTCTTCCCTGCACAGATTTCTAAATTGTGTAGTTTTTGTTTTTGTTGATCTGCTGTATGCAGCTTAGTCAGTGAAACTCCTGACATTTCATGATTATAATATAACACCTTATGCATCAGAGATTCCAAGTTCACATAAATTCTTGCAGTTGGAAACTTGGGTGTCCATGACTGATATGATAGCAAAGTAAAAGCAATGTTTTGTGACATTTGTATCCAAGCACAAGTAGTTAATACATAGACAACTGGATGTGACATTCTTAACAGTGTTACCAAATACAAATTTGGAAGAAGTACACGACTCATTCTTTTTTTTATTTTTATGCTAATAAATGTTAACTGTATGTTTAAAATTAAAATGTAGACTGTCTCAATCCAGGTGCTAACTTCTTATTTCGTTTGTAGTGGCAAACATTATTTTTTATTTTTGAAATAGGCGTGATACTTCTTAAACTTTGTCTTTTCATCATTTTCCAGTAATTTTTAGATTGACTAGTTTTAATAAAAAAAATCATATTTATCTCCAATCATCAATTAGATAGTTATATAATTTCCAACACCTTTAAATCAAATAACTTGTAGGTGCAATTTTTTTCAGTTACTGTAATAAAGATGTAATATCCATTCTGTATTTAGTCATTTTAATTTATTCATGAATGAGGTCAAATTCTTGGAAGTAGTTCAAGTGTACTTTCAAGAAAATGAAATGGAATTTAAACCAATTCAAATCAAACAAAAGATAAATAACACTTTATTAATACATTGGTTTCTAGTTAGCTCTTGGTTATTGTACATTTTTTGTTGTTGTTTTTTACTCTTAACTTTTTATAAGCCAGAGCAGTTCTTCATAGTATTAGTAAATTACTTTAGAAAATTTACACAAAACAAAAAAAAAAATTTAATGTTTTTGTTTTGAATGACCATTTACATGTTCTTGTTGATTTCAATTAAAAATCTACAGCAGATAGTGAGAGTCCCTTAAACCATTTTTGAGACCCTAATATGAACATTTTTTAGACGTAAATGTAGGTAAGTTATTTTGAATGATCCCTTACATGTCCATTCCAATTTTCATATAAATCCATAATCCAGTTCTTTGAGTCACCCAAAAACCCTTTGACCTTACAATTTGAAAATTTCAAAAAGCTGAATTTATTTTGTTTTGAATGACCTATTACATGTTAATATCAATTTTCAAGTAAATTGTTTCAGTTTTCTCATACCCCATCACTCATTTATGTGACCCCATGACTCTTTGAAATAAATTTTTTTAATTTATATTTTGTAGGGTTAAGAGTCTAAATTTAAAGTTTCAAGTTTTCTTCAAACTTGTGGGAACAGCTCAAAACTTATTAAACAAAAATGTATACAATTGAACATTACTATTATGTAGCAGTTGTATTTTGTATATTAAGAGTAGAATTCTATATCCTGCTATACACATTTTGTGTCTTGAATTTATAGGCATTGAGAGTATCTAAATCGGGTGGGTCAAAGCTCATGTTATGACCTTATAGTTATATTCAAAATTTAATGAAATTACTATATTATTAGTGTGTCACTGAACTTGGCATCAAAATGTAGTTAATAATTGAAACATTAACATTATTTATTCATCACTCTTCTGTGTCACATGATGTTTCTGCACTTGGATCTCTCTCCTTTTTAATTTTATAACTTCAGCATTAAAGTTTCTATAGTGCCTGGGCCCAGCATGGCCAGATGGTTAGGGCACTTGACTTGAAATCTGAGGGTCGCAGGTTCGAATCCCCTTCCCACCAAACATGCTTGCTCTTTCAGCTGTGGGGGTGTTATATTGTGATGGTCAATCCCACTATTTGTTAGAACAAGAGTAGCCCAAGATTGTTGGTGGGTGGTGATGACTAGCTGCCTTCCCTCTTGTCTTTCACTGCATAAAAATCATTAAAATAATGTCATTCTTTGTGTACAAAATACTTATAAACTTTAACTAAATATTATGAGTGTATTTTGTTTTAAGGAATGCTCAGTGTTACAGTATGTTTTTTGCATATATGTCATTCCCCAGTCAAAATTATACTAAAAGTATCAGCCCGTGCTGAAAGGCTTAAAAGAAAGCAGATGTGAAAAGGTTAAAAGCCGAGGCTGTTAGGAAAAAACAATTGTATGTTACATTCTGCAGTCATTCTAGAGAAGAAAATATATACTGACTTTATTTCATTTTTTTAAACTTTTTATTACACTGTATTGATGATTTTTCTACAGTTTAGTGTTAGGGTATAGAAAATAAAAGATTAGGTATAAAGTTTTATGGGAAAAAAAACCCATCAGTATTCATTTAGGATGTTCTAGAATCTAGAGGTCATGCTAATGAAATATGAAAACCATAAAATGAAAAGTATCTTTATTCTTAACATGGTAGTCACCTTTCACTCAGACACAGTATTGGCTTTATAAGTTCACAAAAAAATCTTTAGAAAAATACATTATTAAAAATTAGAGTTTTTTGTGTGTAGAATAGACTTTTAATGTTTACAGAGAGCTTGTAAAATTTTGTCAAGATACACTTATTACATTCAGAGTTAAAGTATGTATAGTTTCTCAGTTACGTGATGTTTACAAGATTGGTCAAGTTGAATCAATCTGTATGGGTACGGTTAATCATTTACATTCAACTAATTAATTATTCTCATTATTTGGCTTTAAAAAACAGTGTATAATGCTAAAAATTGAGATTTTGATACTCAAAGCACAGATAGCCCATTGTGTAGCTTGTTCTGTAGGTATTCTAAGTATTTATTTATTTATTATTATTTGTTTTTTTGTAGGTGTACTCTAGGGCAAATGAACAAGAAGCATGTGGTTGGTGGAGAGCAGTTGTGAAAATGACTAAAGGAGATTTTCATGTTGTGGAGTACCTTGGGTGGGAAACCACCTATACAGAAATTGTTCCTAGTGATAGGCTACGAAACAAAAATGCCAAGTTAGTAAAGTGATTTCTCTATGTGTTACATGTGCCTTGCTTACAAATTTAGTTTACTAATTTTTATTGAAATTGAAAAGAAATTATCCAGGAAAGACTTCTTTACAGATTATCTGGGAGAAAACACTTATTATTTATTAAATGAAAATTTGATATGACTTCTCAGTTTTTCCTGAAATAATGTTTTTTTAGTGAGTGGCTCATGCTTGTGGACAGAATTTTGTCCAGTAATGTAACAAACTGACAAGCTCTCAATTTTGGGGCTTTGGATTATTTATAAGGATCCTGGTAATGATTTAAATAATAAACTACACCTTCTTGATAATGAAGTATTTTGCAAACCACACATTAACTTTTTTTGTAAGGAGTGTAGTCATGCATATAATTTTGATTTCATAACATCTTTTTATTTTGTCAAACACACACTAATTTCGTTGTTTTATTTTTACTGTGAAATTTATGAAAAATATTTATTTTTTATTTATTTTTGAATTAGTTCTACTATTATTACTAGTTAATTTTTGAATACTGATTGTTTGTGTTATTTGCTTTTGATTTGTAATTCCACTGGAAAATAACATTCGAACAAAGTTTATAAATGGAAAACAAAACAAATTATTATATATGCATACATGCAAACAAACGCACTCAACATATATTTCAGTTAAGACTCATTGCTTTACATTTTGAATGAAATTAAAATCACTATGTTATATACTATGTAATATATCTGTAATTGTTGCTCTAAAAGTCAAGTTTCACATGTGATTCTTAGCAGTAACACAAATGAAGGCCTAATATCATCATAACTAGCCCACTTTATTAAAAAAGTTTATAAAAGAAAATCTTTTGTGTATCATAAAAACTAATGTAAATACGTTATATACATCTTACTTTATCTTATTTATGAAAGTTACCTCTGCAGTGTGTACCTCTTTAGAAATAATTTTGTTGTTGTGTGTATAAATACACACACACACACACACACACACTACACACACATATATATATATATATATATATATAATATATATATATAGTGTATTTATTTAATTTAAATTAAACTTACCCTTACCT